AAGTAAGCCATAGAAATCCATGTGATAGACAAGGATGGCTATAATGAAGGCGTCTCTTAGTCACCGCCCGTTTCGCCCTTCCACAAATAAGATCCACTTCTTATTTGTGGAAGGGCGAAATGGGCATTGACTATTGGACCCCTTCATTATAGTTATCCTTGTCTATCACATGGATTTCTATGGCTTATTTTATCGCTCTCATGTAACTTCTGATAGACCATCGGTACTTTCCTACACTGTATATTACTAGACAAACATAATGTATATTAATTGTCCTCAAGAGTTAATTGTTTTACCTATTTAGAAATCAGTTTTACTAAATATGCCAATGAGTTAATGTAAGTATAGTTAATAAATAATTAAATCAATGATATGCTCAATTTTTAAACACTGTGGGTCTTTTAAGCATTTTTGAATTTAGCGGTATTGCCTTCTCTAGCCATCTAGCGACGATGAATCGAATTTAACTATAAACTTCCTTTCTCTTCCGCTTTCTTGTGTCAGCGTTAAAGGTTGGTATTTATTTTGCAAAAATTAAAAATCTTTGATCATCTGCAGAAGTATGAAATATTTGTGATGTTAATGAAATAATCTGCAAGTAAAAAGTTACTCTATAAGCCTTCAAAACTATATTTACCCAAAACTTTGCCAAATAAGTGCTCAAAACAATTTTGTAGGTTATGTCGTACATATATTTAGTTATACATTTTACTATAACTTGTACCTATTAATATTTGGGACTTCAGTATGTATTAATATTACTTAATATCTCCATCTTTCTTTTTAGTTTGACAATGAAGCAAATCGTAACTAATCAAACGGTAAAAATCCCAGAAGGGATTACTGTAACTGCAAAGTCTCGCCTAATTACAGTAAAGGGGCCAAGAGGAGTTCTAAAACGTTCCTTCAAACATTTGGCTTTGGACATCCGTATGGTAACTCCTAGGCTACTCAAAGTAGAGAAATGGTTTGGTACCAAAAAAGAATTGGCTGCCGTAAGAACTGTGTGCTCCCATGTCGAAAATATGTTGAAAGGAGTTACAAAAGGCTACCAATATAAGATGAGAGCAGTATATGCTCATTTTCCTATTAATTGTGTTACTACTGAAAACAACTCGGTAATTGAAATTAGGAACTTCTTGGGAGAAAAATATATCAGGAGGTAAGTAAATGTTTGTTTTATTTTTTCAGGCTAGCAGTAATTATTTTATTAATATTTCAAAGCAATATAAACTAGGTGTATTAGGGATCATACTTTATAAGTAGTGGAAGAATTAAAAATATTTAGTAAAGTATAATTTTTATGTATCATGGAAACTTCAACTGTTCATTTTAAGGGTGTTATTCTCACAAAATAGTGTTTTCTACAAAGTTGAACATAAACAGAAGGAAGGAGGTGTAGATCTTTTAATTGAATGACAAATTTTTCTTTAAAAAATACATGAAAACTAAATTCTATTTTGTGATGCCACAGTAAAATCATTTCAATAAGTTTGCATATTAATACTAGTGAAAATAAAAACTACAATTCTAGCACATTATTTCTTTATATTATTTTTTATTTTTCATTTGCAGATACATAAATTTTATATTAAATATATAAAACTTGTATTCTTTGTAAATTGTTATGTATTTGTTTTTTGAGTTAAACCATTCCAGAAATTTTTTTTGTATTTGTTTTTATATAATATTTAAAACATAACTTTCTACGTAATATAATAATTAGAGCTTGGGGTTTTCGTCGGCTAGTCATAGTGTGTGTGTTCGTCATAAACAAATAAATAACAGGTAGGTATAAATAAAAATAAATAAATTTGCGTACTTTATCAGGGAAGGTTCGTTTTTTACCCCTTGGCACGTTCGACATTATTAGAATATTGAAACTCGTATATACGAAGCAAATGCGAAGCCAATAACTGCCGTTATTACTAGTTTCGTACGGTGCATTGTAGCAAAAGGCCGACGCGAAGGCTATGATCATCTGACTGAGTCCCGAGCTCTAATAAATATTATAAATAAATTAATTAAATGATAGAAATACATAGTGATGGTTTAAAACAAAACAAAAAAATATATATATTAGCATGCTCATAGTTATAGAGATGAAGCAGTATTGTTTTTTTGTTTTCAGACTGAAAACTGTTTAAAAAAAGCATAGCCTTCTAGTATGTTCAGTCATGCATGTATTCAGAATTGTATAAATTGCACAATTAGTCCAAGCATTCTGTCACGGATTAATGTTAAATTTGCAGAAATTATTACCTGGACAAAAAAAATATGACCGTATAGAAAACTAAATTTTAAATTGAGTTTCTTGTTCTTTAAACTCAACCCAATATAGCAAACATGGTTAAAAAAAATCGCAAAGTTGAAAAAAACGGTTTTTCTAAAATAACTAAAAAAATATAGCTGAAATGTTTACATTTTATGGCAAAGGTTGATTAATTTTTGTGACAAATACCGTATAAACCAGGGGTCGGCAAGTAATTTTAGGTGGGGTCTGGATACTTTTGAAAATTTTTAACGAGGTCCAGAAAAAAATTCATATTTCTTATTTTTTATTTTAATT